TTTAGGCCTTAGGCCCTGCCCTAGTTGACATCAATGCATTATTAGGAAACTCAAGTAAAAATGTAAAGATATAGACATTTTTAGAAAAATAAGGTTTCAGCTAACATTTTTATAAAACATGAATTAGTTACCTTGTTGTAGGAAAGGAATATATATATATATATATATATATATAGGAGGGAGTATCTTTGTAAAATTGAGAGTACTGATATAATAAAGGTGTTTGAAGTTAGCTTAAAATATTCTGGGGAAGAAAACGTAGCTTAAAATATGAGCAAGGCCCAATAAGAAAAGAGGCATGCATGGCCCATGAAGATGAGGCGTCTGTTGAGTATCCTTATTTTAATAATAATAAAATATGAGAAAGTGTTGTTTCTATGAAGGATCATATTCACTATCTTATAACTATGTGAGTGTAGCATAGTGGCTATCTCACTTTGTCCCTTAAGCATGTGGTGAGGGGTTTGATTCTTCACTCATGTGAATGGAGAACACTTTATAGCCAGCCGTTTGTTTTCTTGTGAGAGATCCCGTGACGAAGCGATTAGTTACTGCTACCGACAGTGGATACCTTGAGTAACCAAAAAAAAAAAAAAATTCACTATCTTATGACAAAACCCTAAGATTAAGAGATAAAAAAGCTTACAATATTGAAGACTTAGGTCTTTCAGAATATTTTTTATTTAGTATCTCTTGTAAAAGATTATTAGAAAAATTTTCATTTGCATATTAAAAATCATTCTCATAAAGTGTTTTAGTAATTAAGTTGGGTATAAAATGATTTTAAAACTTAATTGTTTTACAAACTCGTTATCTTTTTTTTTTTTAACATGTTGAGATGCCTCATTCTTAAGTTATTTTGGCTTTGGAAGAATTTTAACGTATTAACATAACCCTTTATCATGTCAAAATGACACTCTCTTTTTACACCATATTTACGAATTCTTTATACAATTATTGCAAAAGTTATGTTATTAAAATTATATTTAGCACTAGTGAACCTATTCTTGCTAAAACGTTAAAATGTCTATTTTGAAAACTTTCTCCATAGCCTTGGCCAGATTAACCTGTTAACATAAGTGTGCTATCATGTTAAAATACCCTTGAACTACCATTATTCTCTGCTTCCATTTTAATGCGTTAACAATTTCTCTTAACACATCATCGAAGCCAGTTCAAGATTTCATTTTTAGGCAACTTTCAAGCTTACACATCAACTTTCTTTGTTAATTTAAATGAACTAGTTGTATATGCAGTAAATTAAACTAAGTGTCTATCATAATATAGTATATGGTGCAACTTAGGTTGAATCCCTTAGTGGATTGGATTTCAATTGATTTAGAATCATTATAAGAGTGTGAATAAACAGAAAGGCAATTGATTTTGATTAGTTTTCTAAAATGCAACTAAAATTTCCCTAATGAAAGTATTATTTATGCAATCCTGGTTTTCAATCAATAAGGAGTCGTTTGGTTTGTGGAAAAATAAATAATGAAAAGAAATAGAATGATAGGGAATGGAAAAAAAAAATAGAATGATGACGATTAAATATAAGTTAGAGTATGAAGAACACAATAAGGCCTTAGGAGTATGTGCGTATATATAATTGGCAAAAGAAATTATATACACACACTACATAGTTTCTAAAAAAAAATAATTTTAAATTTGTACATTACTTTACAAGAGAAAGATTTAAAACAAATACATGCATATGAAAAACATAATGGAAAACATAATTGTTAAAATGTAAACTAAAATTGTTAATAACAAATGTATAGTTGTTAATATAGGAATGATAGTTATTATTGCATGACTAAACTGAAACTATGGTTAGCGTTTGTTGTTAGTCCATAAATTAAAGTTCTTAATCATGAAATTGAAGTTGTTAATATAAGAACATAGTACTTATTATTGTATAACTAAACTAATAGTTGTGCTTTCTATATTAACAATTTCACCTTTATAATTAACAAATTCATTTTAGATTTTAATAGAGACGCCTTTTAATATTTTGCTGATGTTCAATAATGTAATTTCCCAGAAAATTACTCTTCTAATCTCATATACTCCTTTCAAAATATTTTAATAGAACTAAGGATCTAAAAATTTTCTTTTTCTACCTAACATAATTTAATAGCATACTTTCTCTAACTAATATTTAATGGGTGACTTATAAATGTAACCAAAAAAAAAATTATTCTCTCTTCTTAGGGACTATGTCAGGTAAGTCCTTAGCAACTTCAAAATATATAATTACCCCATTTCCTTACACTGATTTATCATCTGCTTATTTTGAAGAGATTTATTTGTCATTTTCTCTAAAAATCTTCTTGCAGTTATGTTGAATACAAATATAAAAATTTACACCTATAATTATGTTAAAATAAAACAAATTCCAAAATATTCTAGTCCATCCCTAAATTAAAGTCAATCTCGACAATCAATCATGCTACGTACCATGCTTCGTTAATACGTACGGTTTCTGAATATGCAGATTACAGCAAGTGGCAGAACCAAAATAAATGGGCATTAAATGACTGTTGAAGATAATGTATGAATGAATTCGATATAAACCACTATTACAATGCAATCGTCTTAATCATCATTTGAGATTGCTCAAGCCTCAATGTGATATACTGATATTTCTAGCTAGACAGACACTTTACCAAATATAGTATGAATTGAGATTATTTTCTACGGGCGAGAAATTTTTGCATGGACAAATTGGTGCACCATGTCATTCATGTTTTGTCAAAAAATTTCTACATGCATTTGTTGTACCACATCATTCATATAATCTATTTAATAAAAATATGTCATATTAGATTGTTGTGAATATAAATTGATTTCGTCATTGATAATGATAGAAAGAGAAAAGATAAAAAATTAAACAAGCACTCTATTTTAAAAATAAATTCATCAAAAATGTTAATAATGTATAATATTTTATTTGATTGAATTGATGTAATATGACATATTTTTATTAGATAATATTTGGATGATCTAATACGCCAAATCCGTGCAAAAAAATTTCTAGAATGTGACTGGGTTAGGAAAAGGAAATTCACCAAAAATTGGAATAGAGGTGGACAGATATCAATATTGTGGCCCCAAAGCCCAAATTGGAATATGTAGAATAGATGAGATTTGTTGACAAAAAAATACTACAAACAATAAAATATTTTACCAAAAATGCCATATGGTGAAGGAGCTAACACAATTTGACAAAAAGAAGTGAATCTTGATTTTGAGACTTGATAGAGGATCCACATCATCTGGGAAAGAAAATATTACTCCTTTCGTTTAAAAATGTAAGACATTTTTTAAGAAGTTCGATGTTAAAAAATATAAAGTATTTTTAGTCTTTCGAGGTATAACAATTATTTTTTTTAAAGTGCCCCTATTGATAATGAATTTATATTTATTATGGAGTGTTTAATAGGGGTAAATATAAAAAGATATAGTTAGTTTGAAAGTAAATAACTACTTTATTAGGGGTGAGATTCAGTTAAAAATGTCTTATATTTTTTAATGGAGAGAGTATTATTTATTTATAGCATAAAATTATAAATTTATATAATATTCCAAAAGTATAAAAAGAAAAATAAATAAATAAGGGGCATTGTTAACTAAATGACCCTCTCACTTTTAAACATTTAAAATTAACTCACCTAACCTTCAACTTTATTTTACAAAGCTCCTATCATTAGTTAACTTTGTTATTAAAAAAGTTTGTCAAGTCATATTAATAAAATACACATGCCACATGGTATAGAAAATATTTTTGTTTATTTGTTACCACAATTTTAAAGAGGGGCAAACTTATAATTTTTACTTTTAACATCCAAGGTAATGCTTTCATTTTTTTTTTTAGTTGAGCGGCTTTGTTCTCATTATTAATTATTAATATAATTTAATAGAAAAATATAATTTTATTATTCTTTATCAATTAAAATAGGTTTTTATATTCAACAAATAAAAAATCTAAAAGTTATCATTGATAAGAATTATATAAATAAAAGTTTATCCTTTAATACAGAAAAATTATGTATTGTTGATAATAAAAAACATGGATAAAATTAATACAAAATTAAATATTTAAAAAATAATATAAATTTTATAAATTTATTATTTGCTTACATAAAATGCCACATAAGTTTCTATGTGGCTTTTCTTAATCAAACATGGCAAACTTTATAAATAATATAACATAATTAATTAACAGTAGGGGTTTTGAAAAATAAAATTAAATGCTTTGAGAGTTAATTTTAAATACTTAAAAGTGAATGAGGTTATATTCAACTGCCCTAAAATTTAGAGAAGTTTTATGCATTTTATCCCATAAAATTCATACCACCACATGCAGTTTTTCACAAAGTGTGGGGTTCATACAGGAGTATGCGTTATTTTAATTTTGAATAAATTTTTCATTAAATAAGTGGCTCATTTATGAAATCAACTTAATTAATCATCTAATAATCAACGCCTCATCCTTAAACGTTTCAATAACTTATTGTTGACTGAAACATCAACATTAATGTCCTTATGGTGCATGCTTTACGTTTTGTCTCTTAAATGATATGAAGTTTCCTTGCCGGTCAAAAACAAAAAGAACAAAATTATAAATTCATATAATATTTCAAAAGAATTATTAGAAGGAAAAAAAGTAAATAAGCAGGCATTCTTAAATAAAATTTATACAACCACGTGCAGTTTTACACAAATTTAAGTGCCACTGCTGGTTGATAAATATGCGTTATATTAAATTTTGAATAAATTGTTCGTTAAATATTTGTGTTTCAGTTAGTAAACCAGATTAATTAATCATCTAATAACGCTTCATCGTTAAACGTTCCCAATAACTTATTGTTGGTTGAAACAACATCAGCATTATTATTACTGATGTCCTTACATATGGTGCATGCTACAATTTGAGTACTATAAAATGTTTCATTTTTTGTGCATTTCATGAAGCATATATCGCCATACATTTAGTAAATATGGCTAATAGTAATATATTATTAACTTTGCTTTTGATAATATTCATGTTCTACATTTCAGCTGCACAAGGAATTGAATCACTTCCTGCATTTGCCTCAAGTTCTAGTGATGGTATTTGCAAATCAATGGTAGAGACACAAGGCTACACATGCGAAGAACACAAGGTTTAATTTATTATTTTATTATTATAATTAGTGTTCCCTTTATTCTTCTATTAATGCATGGGATTTTAGTCATGTTGCGCATATTAGATCAGAAAAAAAATCTTACGCCTAGTAATTAGAAAATAGATTAGGAGAAATATATAAAGTTTTGGATATATTTGACTAATTCGATTAAGTTATTTTGATAAATTTGACAATAATCAAATATACTTGATATAAAATTTGACATTTGGAGGGGGGGGGGGGGAGATGGATTGGTAATCTGGTGGTGGTCCTAGGCCCATAATTAATTAATATATAACAGCAGCAATGGGTGATTACAGATATATTGTGAGAAACCTGAAAAGAAATTCAAAGCCATTCATAATCTTAATTAACTTCCTTGTTTAAAGTGTTATTTTATTTTTAACACATCCTAAATAATTAATTTTCAATTATAGTTCAGTGAAGTTTTTACTATAAATATGTTAAAAAAAAGTTATTTTTCAAGCTCTAGTCATCATCCATTACATATGTTTTAAAAAAGGGAAAAATTAATTTGGTAGTCATTATAGTTTTTTTTAATTTTGAATTATATCCTTATAGTTTATTTTATTTTAATTAAATCCTCATAGTTTTGTCAATTAAATATATTAATCCTACAATTTAAAATATTTGAATTTTTTCTTTTAAAAAATAAAATTATGCACTTTTATATTCTTATTAAAAGATTATATAACTTTGGAATTAATTGCATAATTTTTGTAACTCCAAATTTATATAATTAAATTATATTTTCTAAATAACTTTTATATATATATATATATATATTAGAATTTTCATGAAAAAATTAAGAAAATGTAAACATTATTGTATCAAATCAAATTTTCTTTTAAAATTTTCAGATAAAAGTATCAAATCAATTTTTAATTAAAATAAAATAAGCTATAAGAACCTAATTCAAAATTGGTGAAAAGTAGAACCTGTAGATTAATTTTCCCTTTGAAAATCACCATGTTGATTTGTATAACAAACTTTTGCATAACACTATAAGCTAGCTAAACCATGACTTGTTAGCTAATAAATACTAACCTATAAAGTTATGGGTATAAATTTCATTGTCAATATAAGAACCTTGTTGAGTGTCCAGTATACTTATCAACTTTACTTACAAAGTCATACGTTCAAATATATCTGCTGATTCAGGTGACCACAAAGGATGGTTACATCTTGAGCTTACAGAGGATTCCAGAAGGACGATCTGGTAAAAAAGCAGATAAGCCACCTGTTCTATTACAACATGGCCTCTTTGTTGTAAGCTTAATTAATTATTCGATGCAAAATATTTTTTATTTTCTTATTTTAATTTATTAATGTGCATATCTATCATCATCTTTATTAATTACTTTAATTAAAAATTATGCTGTGTTTTGTGGCGCTTTAGGATGCAGTATCATGGCTTCTCAGCTCTCCTGATGAATCATTGGCATTTATCTTATCCGACAATGGGTTTGATGTGTGGCTTGGCAATACACGTGGCACCAGATATAGCAGTGCCCACACATCTCTTTCTCCAATTGATAGGGTAATTTTCTTTTATATATATATATATAATAAAATTCAATAAATATAGGGAGAATGATAGATAAGTTCCAAGGGATTAATTTATTTAATCAAAGTCCCAATCAATTTTAGAATATCAATTTGATCCTTAAGTAACATTTTGATATATTGGGAAAAATCTAAAATACCCTTGGTAACATTTTGCAATTTCATTCTCTCATGCATTTGCAACTTGTTATCTCAACTTTAACAAGGAACATGATTTGCAACTTTGACTCCCAATTTTACAATTTTGAATTAATAAATTTGTAACTTATTTTTTAAATTTTAATTATATGTTTAACTTAAGGGTATTTAAGTCAACTTCTTTACAATCAGATTTGTCAAAACAATACATGGAAGTTTGTTAATATTCTGAAATTAGTTAGGATTTAAGCAGAATTAATTGGTTCCCTTCAAACTTTATTGTCATTCTACCCTTATTATAAAGGAATAGAAAGTATTAATGCAAAGTATGATCACACAAATACTTTTTCCCTAAGATAATTTATGTAGCACTTGGATCGATAGATTTAAATTTGAATTTTAAATTTAGAATATCATACTTAAAATACCTATATATTTAAAATATTTTTTTTAGATAATGTAAAAAATTTCAAAGGAAGAAGAAATCAAATGAGTTGATATTCGAAGCACAATAAAAAATTAAAAGTGATGATCGTATCTATTTTTTTTTTTAACTGGTAGGAAATGAGACGAAAATAATAAATCCACATCAATAGTAAAAACGTACAAGAAGAAAAAATGAGAGAATTAAAATAATTGAAATTTTAAATAAATAAGATATGAGGGAATTTAAAATTAAAAAATTATAACAATTGATATCCATATACTTTTTACATCTAAATAAGATATTTGTTTCAAATGCAAATTTAAATTCAAATCTCAGATTCAAACACAATAAATTTAAGCTTTGTAATTAGGTATCATGTTTTATTGATATACTACTTGTTTATTTATGTTCTCCTAAAATATTTAGGCCTATTGGGAGTGGTCATGGGAAGAATTGTCCTCTTATGATCTTCATGCTTTAGTTCATTACGTGTACAACCACACTGGGCAAAAAATATATTATACAGGGCATTCCCAGGTTAGTATCTTAATTATTTTTCCCCATTTCAATTATTCAAATTTTGTCACAATAAATAAAGTTCAGACACACATATTTTTATGTGTTGGAACATTGAACTGTGAGAGATGTATTTGTTTTAGTAGATATTTACATAGACCGTACAAGAATCCTAAATACATAGTTTTTACCAAACATTTTTTATAATAAAACTCAGACCCTATAATTTGTATCAATCATCTATTTGATCCCTTAAGTTTAATTTTGATTAAGCAGGTCCTTTACATTTTTCTGAAATTATCATGTTAGTTTTTTAAATTGTAAAATACAAATTGACTTGCAAATTAATCTAATATACAAAGTACATTGATATCTTGACATGCATATACAACCAAATAAGAATAAATTAGTCCTTAAATTAGTTTAATTTTTGTCAATCTCATCCCTTACAATGTTTTTGTTATTTCATTTTGTTATTTTATTTTTCAGCTTTTTTTCCAAGGATTATGAAGCTTTTATTCTTTTAAATTTGTCTCAATTATTAATTTGATCCTTCAAGTTTAATTTTTATCAATTTGTTTCCTAAAATTTAAATTACCTAAACAACTATGCTCTTTTCATTAGTCTACATGGCTTCCATCAATATTATGTTATCCTTGTTAGTAAAATATAACTTTATAACCTCCTCTTTAAACAATAAAGACCAAATTTATAATTAAAACAAATTTAATAGATCAAATTGATAATTGAAACAAACTTAATTGACCAAATAGATTAAAATTAAACTTGAGAGACTAAATATCGATAGCTAAGTCAAATTTGAGAAACTTAAAAGTTTCATTATTCCAGCATTTTTTCTTTATGAATATAAGTTGGAATAATAATTATTATTAAGTAAATTTCAGGGGACAGTGATAGCCTTGGCTGCATTCTCACAAAAGGAATTGGTAAACATAATCAGATCTGCGGCTTTACTTAGTCCCATTGCTCATCTCAATCATATCCCTTCGCCATTACTACAATTTGCTGCAAATGCCTTTCTAGCTAATGTAACTCACTCTTCTTCATGTATAATGCTCCTTATTTTTTCTCTATCTCAAGATATAGATTTCATCATTACATTATAAACAATTAACTTGACATGTGCTTTTTTTTTTCTTTTTTTCAATATTTGTAGGCTCTATATTGGCTCAACCTTCGCGAGTTCCTTCCAAGAAGGTAGTCAAAACTAAATACATAAAAATTATATATATATATATATATAAGATTAGTGATTTTGTCCTTAAACTATATATTTAGGAGCTTCTGTGATCCTAAATTTATTTTTAACATAATATTTCCTTTCAATATTTGAAAACGGTACAATATCATCCTTATTATTAACAAATATTATATTTGATTGTTACTTGACTAAAAAATCATAAAAAATGAATATAACAATTTAAAAAAGGAGTATAAATTTTTTATATGTATTTTTATTTTTGGATCCTTTTCTGTAATTTTTAAAATTACTTTTCAAAATTTTCTAGTCAATTTAGAGTAAAAATTAGGTTTTGTTAATAGTAAGGCCGTGCAACATTAATGTACCCTTTTGTTTTATTGCTCATAGATATTTTTCTATTGGGGACAATCCTACTTGAGCAATGCTAGGGCATTAAATGTGAGCATCTTTCTCAACAAGAATTCAAACTTTAGTTCTCCATCATGTGATGGACTAGTTTTTCCGGTTAAACCCAATCCCATTAGTTACCATTTTTAAATATTAAAAGAAAATATTACACAAAAAATAAGTTCAGGATTCTAACTCCTGTAACTATAATTTAAGGGTATAATTGTCTTTTAACCCTATCTACACACATGTCCAACTTTCTTAATTATTTGCATGACACCTATTTGACCAAAGTAATGCATATTACATCTAGAATATTTTGTAATGACTTTCAACACTGATATCTACAGTCAAGAAGCAGCCCAACTTCTAGAGGTTTTCTGCACTGTTACAGGCATCGATTGCTCTAACATATTGACTCTTTTAACAGGTACAGTATAACTATATAAAATACTACCAAGTTGTCAAACACAGAATGTATAATGAGCCTATATTTGATCGTGTTCCCATTTTTTTATTTTTTTAATGCTATTTTGTAATACATTTTTGGAATTGTTTTTCAGAAGGAAAATTTGTTTGATTATATTAAATTGAAAATAATTTTAGAGTTAAAAAAATTAGTCGAAAGATGTGGTCGCTAATGATTAATAATAACTTTTAATAAAGTGAAGATAACTATAAGTTGTTTTTATTTTTTAAATTCAAAATAAAATAATTTTGAAAATATTTAAATTCAAAACATTTACCCAAATAAATTTTAAGGGAAAAAATAGAAAAACATGTTTTATAAACAAAATCAAACCGGCCAAATATTTTTTTTCTTTTGGTAAGTTTCTGCTCGTGTGTAAATGCATTATATTATTTGGGAAAAATTACAACCAAGTTTCATATAAAAAAATTAATTACTATAAGGTTCATTAATAATTGAATTAAATTGCATTTATATTTCTTTATGTGGAACTTCAATGCAATTTTTCCTATTATTATTTTGATACCAATTACTCTCAAATTTTAGGCCCAAACTGTTGCTTTAATTCTACAACTCTAGAAGTCTTGTTATTCCGTGACCTTCAGCCAACGGCAACCATGAACTTGATCCATTATTCTCAAAGTAAGCCTTGTTCATTTTATAAATGCAAATAGAATCACTATATCATTGCATGTTCCTAATGCTAATTAAGTATGTTGCCAATGGAATTATTAGTTCAGAATTTCAATTCATAACTTCTTGGACAAGATGTGATAATTTTTTTTTTCCTTTTTCTTTCTTTATTTTCCGTCTTCTTGTTTTTTTTTTTTGGGTTCAATATGTGCTATCTATATGTTTGTGATGACAATGCTTTATTTAATTGAACTTTTTTAATAATATTTTTTATCATCACAATCAGGTATTATCATTTCTTTTTTATTGAATAAAAATATGAGAAATTCTTAGGTAGGCTCAGTGCACCACGTCATCAATGCTCCATCTAATGGAATTATATCAATTCAATCAAATAAAGTATTATGTATCATTAGTTTTAATGACTTTATTTTTATAATAGAATACTTATTTAATTTCTTATATTTTTATAAGAGGCCATTCTTGATATCTAATAAAAGAATCAAGTTATATTTAATGCCATTTGAATGTTATGTTTTTATTAGATATCTCTTTCTCAATTATATCATTTTTTATTAATTCAATTCTAAATGCTAATGGCCTCTTAATTAGGGAAACTTATTTTTAAAAAAGCAAATTAAAAAACCAAAATTAATAGCATGATTATGCATGTGAATTTTCACACTACATAAGTTTTTCCTACCTAACACAACAATCATTTCTATGTCGTTTCACTTGTTTGTGTTTGGATTGTATATAAACAGTGGTCAGAACAGGAAGGATAGCGAAGTATGACTATGGAAATCCAATACAAAACAATCAACATTATGGACAATCCAGGCCTCCTGTGTATGACATGACCAGCATTCCAAACGACTTGCCTCTCTTCCTCAGCTACGGGAAAAACGACATTCTATCAGATGTCGGAGGCGTGCAGGTTTTGCTGGACGAACTCAAAAACCATGATCAAGATAAGCTTATGGTGGTTTTTAACGAAGACTATGCTCATGCTGATTTCATTTTGGCTAACAATGCAAAAGAAGTCGTTTATGAGCCTCTGATGACGTTTTTCAATCAAAACTGATCAGTATTTTACTGCTACGATTATTTAAATGAACTTTCAAAGCTTATTTTATGCCGACGTAGTTTAAAGTTAATTTTTTTTCTTTATAAATTACAATGTATGTACATACATTCATAATAAAGTTAAAAAATTGTTTGTGTTTGTGAGGAACAAGTAACTAGTACTTGATTTAAATTTTAATTTATGCGGGAATCACCCACCATGAAGTTACGAATTATCTTAATATTTTTAATTTATACATGAAGTTTCCTCATGGAGACAATGAACAAAAGGCAGTACGTACCTGGAGCGAATTTGTCGGCAATGTGAATTTGAGGAGGGCTGGTATGTGGATCCAGTGGGACGCTCAGGCGGGTTGGATCTATGGTGGCGTTCTTCAATCACGTCTACCTGTATAAGCAGCTCTAAGAACGTGACATGATGTTTTTCGACTATGTGGGAAGTTCTAGAATTCATTTCGTTCATTTATCGGCCACCAAGAGAATCTAAAAGGTTACGAGTGCGGAATCAAACCAGGGACATGGCGCGCTCGATTACTACCCCATGGTTATGCGTAGGAGATTCCAACGAGTTGCTTTCACAAAATGATAAACTAGGAGGTATTAATCTTCAGCAGTTTGTTTCAGATTGTCACTTGATGGAATTGGAGGTAAAGGGCTAGAGATTTACATGGTGTAATCAGCGGATTGGTTCTGACCATACTAAAGAAAAGTTTGATCGAGCATTGGTAAATCTTGAAATCAAAGAAACTTTCCCGAAAGCCCTTGTCTTCCACGTGGAGCCTTTAGCTTCGGTTCACCATTTGTTGGTGGTGAATCTGTGTTATCAAGACAGTAAAACGCCTCGTATTGTCAAGTTTGAAGCCAATTGGGTTACACATCCTGAGTAAATGGAGGTCATTCGCAGCTATCAGTATATCTTCAATCGTGCCCTTCACGAAGTCCAAGATTCTATTAATTGGTTGAATGAGTGCAGACAAAAGCTAGTTGAACGGAGCAAGAGAACTTTCCCAAATAATCGCTGTTTGATCTCTGAAATCATCAATAATAAGATCGAGACCCTTAAGGCTGGGGTGTACACGAGTGAAAGCAAACGAAATATTGAATCTTTGACAGATGAGCTGGGGAGGCTTTGGAAACAAGAAGAAATATGTTGGTGGCAGAGGTCACGGACTAACTAGCTAAAAGTAGGGGATATGAACACGAAGTTTTTTCATAGGACTACGGCTATCCGCAGGCAACGAAATATGATGGTGAAATTAAGGAATGAAGAGGGGGGATGGGTTAAGAAGGAAGATGATATGGTTGAGAAGGAAGGGGATATTTTCCCAACGTCCTGCTTTAAATTTCCAAATTAAGAAAACTTGTATAGCACTAGATCGTCCGTTATCTAATTTCTTTTGGGGTAATTCGGGGATTCGGGAAAAAAACATTGGAAGGCATGGAAGGGCATGATTAAATCAAAAGATGAAGGAGGCCTATAGGATTTGAGGATTTTATGGGTTTCAATGATGCATTACTTGCAAAAACTGCATGGAGAGTGCTTAAATACCCTGATTGTCTTTGCGTCTGCTTTTTAAAGGGAATTAGTTTCAGTGTTCAGTGAACTGATGAGCACGATAGTGCTCAGCACTGCACTAAATTTTGGAACATTCAGATTTTTGGTTTAGATTTAAAGTACTATTATATTTTAAATTTATTAAAATAAAAATTATAAAATAATTTTTTATTTTTAATATAATCTAGATTTATTTTGGAGGGCTCAATTTAATATTAAGAGTTTTATAATTGATATACATTAACTATCCGGATGTACTCTACACCGTCTAGATCTAATCTGGTATTAATTTGGACGGTGCAAAGTACATCTAGATAGTCAATGTATATCAATTATAAAACTCTTAATATTAAATTGGGCCTTTTAAATTAAATTTAGACCATATTAAAAATTAAAAAATTATTAGAATTATTTTATAATTTTTTTAATTTTTATTTTAATAAATATAAAATATAATAGTATTTTAAACCTGGACCATTTAGATTAAAATCTGAATGGTCCAGATTTCAGTGCAGCGCTAAGCAACATTGTGCTCATCAGTGTGCTAAGCACTGAAACCAATCCCCCTTTTAAAGAGCATTTACTTCCCCAATACTTCTTTTCTGAATGCCAAGAAAGGACCCAAAGCCTCATGGGTGTGGGAAAGTTTATTAGCTGGCAGGGAATTTTGGCAGGACCACCTCTACTGGCAGGTGGGAAATGGCAGTTTTATTCAAGTATGGAAGGATTCATGGGTTCCAGGGGCTGATAAGTATCTACTCAAAGCCAAGCGGATGCGGTAATTAATGTAGAGTTACCAGTGGCAGCATTTATCTCGAACAGATTGTGGAATTCGGACCAGATAACAGGTGCTACAGAGCCATCCATGGTGGAGCTTATCAAAGGAATCCACCTTGAAGCCACAAGTCAAGGGGATAAAGTAGCATGGGCAGCTACAAAATATAATATAATAAGATAATGTTAGATAATAATAAATAATATGTAAAAATTCATGTCTTTATTTATTGAAAACAAAAATATATAACATTAATTATATAAATATTTTTTCATTATTAAATAATTTTTATAAGAATAAAATGAGAAGTTACGTAATATTCTTATGCTATCATTTTATAACATACTTCTTCTGGTTCAAAATATAAGTATTTTTCCTTAGCTAACTTTGGTTCAAAATATAAGCAATCTAGTATATGTAAATTTTTCTTACCATTTTATCCCTTATATTTATTAACATAGATATTTGTGTAAGTGTATTTTTCACTCATCATAAAGTGCTTTAGTAATTTGAACTAGGGATAAAAATGAAAAATAATATATATTTATATTGGAATACAGATTTTATTGGTATGTGACTTTTTCCTAAAAATTGCTTATATTTTGAATCGGAGGGAGTATTTTTTACTCCTATACTTTTTAAATTAACTTTAATTTTTTAGATGAATTATACTATCAATAGTATATAGAGTAATAAGATCATAAACAAAATAGCTATTTGAGTTTTAATACGCATGTAGTAAAACTTATAAAATGAGATATTTCATATATATGGACAATAACTTATAAAATTGAACAAAATATTGTTTAGATTTATTTTGAAAGCTAAATATAGTGAATTTTCGCTCGATTTGGAGGTAAATTTCAATTATGTTATAAAATCTTGCACAAATACTCTCTCCAGATCATCATATAGAGCATCTTCTAAAAGCTTTATTTGGTCCAAAATATAGGGAGTAACTTTTATAATTATTTTTTTAATTATACTCCTTTTTCATTTGTTACTCTTTTTAAAAAAATAATGCATTAAAATTTTAATTATCACTATCAAAGTACTTATATAAAGTATTTAATGAGGATAAAATTGGAAGGATATAATTTCTTTTAAAAAGTTAAAGTTTTAACTAATCTATTTTGAGAGCCATGAATTAATTACTAATGCCCTATATTAAAATCAATACAATAAACCAACAATTAATAATCGGTATATATATATATATATATCCATTCAATTATAAACCAACAACCAATAATGTTCCAAACTCCCTCACTGCTACAGAAAATACTTTTACTACTCCCAATGAATGTCACTTTTTAGAAAAGTGAAGTAAAAAATAGTCATAGCGGCAATTTTGCAATTAAATATAAAATAGGAAAAGATATAGACTTCACTTTCATTTAAAGTGACGTAGATATTAATTTCATCTAAAAAATAATTAAAACAATTAATTTACTAAGTATATTCCACGTCGATTTTAGTATGAATGACATGGAAAATTATCCACATCGTTTAAACAGTAAAATCGATGTGGATATTCAAGCTTAAAATCACTATAATTAATTTATTAACCATAATCCATGTCACTCAAAAGGAAAAAAACGACCTGGATATTCAAGCACAAAAACTACTATAATTAATTTATTAATTATAATCAATGTCGCTTGTACGGTAAAAAGAGACGTGGATATTCAAGCTAAAAAAATTACTATAAATAATTTATTAATTATAATCCATGTCACTCAAAAAGAAAAAAGCGATGTGGTTATTGAAGCAAATAAATTACTATAATTAATTTATTAATTATAATCCACTAGCGGAAAAAAGAGACATGGATATTGAAGGAAAAAAAAATTACTACAATTAATGTATGAATTACACGTTGCTCAAAAGGAAAAAAGAGGTGCGGATATGCAAGCTGAAAAAATTACTATAATTAATTTATTAACTATAATCCACGTCATCCAAACAAAAAAAAAAGAAAAGAAAAGAAAAGTAACAGCGACATGAATATTCTTTATTCCACATCGCTTATATTGCAAAAATGACATGGATATTCACGTCACAAGTCAACCCAGATCAGATTTTACTTTCACTCGACAATCAAAAACCCCACTTTTAGGTTTTCCCCTTCCGCCAGCGTTTGCTCTTCTTCTCGGCCAGAGCTCACCGGAAGCTCCTCTCCTCTCTTCCTCTTCTTCTTGGCAGCCAAAGATTGATGGCAAGATCTCTCCTCCTTGAAGGACCTCTTTTCTCCTCTCCTCCTCTTCTCGACCACCAAAAGTTAACGCTGAGAGATCGTCTCCTCTTTTTACATCTCCTCCTTGTCTCGGCAAGGCTAGTGCCCTAGTACCAATCATTTGGTTGTGGAGATTATCTTTCTTTGAAGAACTTGCATTTGGGTGAGTTATTTAAGGGGAATTTCAATTTTTAACCTATGAGCTTGTGACTTATTTTCTTTTTTGTTGATTTCTATTGGCATGGCTCTTTGTTATTTGAGTATTATTGCCAAGATTTATTTTATGAATATCTCCAACACACCCCTTCTTGCATAGTTGACTTCTTCTTGAATTATAGAGAAATTTATACATCCATCATATCATGAGGTGGAATTTATTTCTTACTAGGAAATTTGTTTATCGTTTGATCACAGAAGCTTATCACCTTGTGG